AAAACGTCAAAAAAACCTATAAGATGTCAACTTGCAGACTAGGTAGTTTTTAAGGCGCACACAGTCATTCCACGTTTGCTCGCTAGGATCGTTGTGAACGTCCATCTATGGAGGAATCACTCAACTAAACTACACGCATTATTGGTTGCATAGTTTTGTGAGACTGAGTGTAGTTTTTATCTCTGATAAGGAAGTTGGTTGAATAGCAAGATCGCATCTGGATGATTTTTTTTTATCTGCATGTGTATAAAATCAGTGATATTTGCTGTGTGAAAAAATCATCATTGAATAAGCTGAATATGACGGGTTATTTATATGTTGTGCTTTCTGAACAGAGGTTATGTTCAAAGTTATAAATTAAAAAAAACTGAGAAGAATTACGGGAAATCATCACCGCGACCGCGTTGTGTGTAATTACTGTTAGCATATACATGCTTGTACTTTGACAGTGTACAGTGAATATAATTATTTCTGATCTCTCTCATTTTTTAAATTCAGCAAATTTGTATAAGAAAAGTGTCTGCGCAACTAATTTTTAGCTTTGAATCTCGATTAAGTGTACGTATTTGAGACAAGAAACCAATGGAATTATCATCAACACATACAACTTACAGCTTACACCTCCAGTAATGCGATCTCTGCAGCAGATTTTACATACCATCAGAGCCAAACATTGATAACTAAAGCCTTATGACGTTTAGGCAACACGTACAACTAAGTGCTAAGTTAACATCTTGTAGAAAAACCTACATAATGTCAAAAAAAATGGCATAATCTCACTTTTCAAGATACGTGATACCCGTGCCGATGTTTGGTCAATCAACGTTGAAAATTCCTCTTGATTGAAAGACATTTCGGTACCAACGGTGACCTACTTTAAGTTCAATTGACATTTTTTATTGATAATATATTTTATTTATCTGGTTTTCCCATGGTACGTCAGACACCAGTGTATGGGTCCAGTAGCCAAAGGGCATCTGTATTTTGATGTTTCAACGTGTCAGTTCGCCATCATCTTCATTATAACCGGAGACTAAATCTTGGCGACCCCCCTGGCTATTGCTAATACCTAGCGCTCAAGATTCCAACGTGGGCATAAGAAAGAAACCGCTTGATTACCTTGCACGCACTGCTAAATATGGACAACATTCAGAAAAATGAATCAGCCTTATTGCGACCAATGTGGAATCTTGTAGAATTTCTAAACAAAATACAAACTCCTGGAGGCATATATTACACCTATCATCCTAGTTTTAACTTTACAAATATTCATTTTTGTTTCCAATTTTGAGATGCCAAGATTCCATTTATGGACGTCTCTGATGTTTCTTACCAACATTTCAAGGAAAGGTAAAAATAAGTAAACGAGGATTTCTCGCTGATTGAAATCGTAATTGTGGTATTTTTGTTTTATGGTATTTAATTTTTGATATCGTCGTAATTTTGGAATGTTTTGCAGCAAGCTTTTTTTTAAGATAATGTATGGATACTCGTATTTTCGATTTGAGTACTCTTTTTAACGCCAGAACATGACTAAAAATAAGCCAGACGGCAGTAAGATTCCAAAAATTCCAGAGTTATTCAGCCCATTTGGAATTCATCCAATATTTTTAACTACATCTGGATAAACATTTCGGTGCACGCACCCAGAAAACTCGCTTCTGAATCTGTGACTCAACTTACGAATATGTCTGGTATACGCTAAAATTACGCCGCTCCAGTAAATCTCAATATGACCGCTCTGAGCTTTTCTCTATTCACTTCATGTTAGTCCAGGATCCCGCGTAACACAAAATTTCTTTTACACGTATAAACAAATCTATAGGATGTTCAAGATGAATATTGTATACTTGTGGATCGGTTAGATTTACATTGTCGAGTTGCGGAGCTTCCCGATTTACGAGCCCCTTCCCACTTCAGTTGGCCCAGCTATTGAAATCTTACTTTTTTCCTTATCAAACAAAAATAATAAAAATGTAGCCGGGTGTTATAGGTTTAAAATATTAACAATGAATATTTTGATAATATATAGTAGAAAACACCAACTTTATCACTCCCTAATCAAATTTGCAGCATAAAAATAACACATGTTGCAATTACAGCATATCAAACTATTTTCATTTCAATGCAAAATAAGTCTATAACGCATAGGTGGCTGTGAAAAATAAAAGCCCTGACAATTGTTTTTATTAATGACAGCTGTAAGAATACGTTTAAAATAGCAGTGTCCATTATGGTCTGGGGCAGTATGTCATCAAAAGGAGTAGGAAAACTTCATTTTATTGATGGAAATGTGGATACAAACAAATATTTGGCAATTTTAGGAGAATCGCTTTTACCAGTGATGGAAGAATGTTTGATATCCGGCCAAGATTTTGTGTTTCAGCAAGATGGTGCAGCGTGCCATACCTCAAAAAAGGCTATAAAATGGATGGAAGAAAATAATGTACCACTTTTGAAATGGGTTTCTAGCAGTCCAGATTTGTCACCTATTGAAACTTTGTGGCACGAGATGAAAAAGGTTCTACGACTACATCCTGCTCGTACAGTCACCGAACTGAGACAAGAGCTTTAAGAAATATGGGATTATTTTACACCAAATTTTTGCCAAAACTTGGTTAACACTATGCCCCAAAGAATTTCAGCCGTAATAAAAAATAAAGGTGATGTTACCCAATGGTAATCTTTCAAAGAGGTAAAAAAATAACATTTATTGATGAAATTTTTTGTTAAATTGATGATTTTCAGATATTATTGAATGTTTTGTATTGCGCACATAATACAAATTCTTCAGAAATGCTTCGTGATGTCGGTGTACTAAATAATAATCAAAACTAAAACTATGAAAACGTTTATTTTGAAAAATATTACACATAATGTACAACATTTTTGAAATTTTTAAACACTTTTTTGTTCTTCTCTCCAAGGGCTATGGTGCTACCATGCTCAACATATTATGTTTGTCTATGAAGTGGGCGTATGCAATTTGAAAATCATTCATTTATTGATGTCATCTTATTCTCAATATGTGATTAATAAAAGTACACTAATTTTGTATTGAACATTTTTCTATCAAAAGCTGACTGAAAGATAGCAACGAAAGTCTGTTCTTGATCATTTTTAGAAAATCCACAAGAAAGATAACTGCTCCATTATATACTAAGTGACATATAAATCCGAACACCCAGTTTAAATGGTTTTATTTTTATAAAAGTTGGTGAATGTATTTATCTTACTGTAAATAACAAGTGAAAACATTTTCAGCCTTATCAGTTGGACATTCCGGTTTTTATACTGCTTTTTTTTAATTCACTAACGCTCTAAAAATGAATATTTCAGCCGCAGTAAAGAATCAACGTTGGCGGATTTTGGTCCTTGACATCCTTTACGATCGGTTACGATGCCTAGAGTACGGAGACCTGTACGATTTCGTCAACTTAGTGAGTTTGATAGGGGCCGTATAGTGGGGCTTCGGGAAGCTGGACTTTCTTTTCGGGCAATTGCAGTTAGAGTGCAAAGAAGTGTAGACACTGTGGTTAGGTGTTGTCAGGCATGGCTTCGAGAAGGCCGTACGCAAAGAGCAAGGGGCACTGGACGCCGCCGTAGAACAACAGACCGTGAAGATCGCCGCCTAAGATTATTGGCCTTAAGGGACCGTTTCTCCACTACCAGGTCCATTGCAAATGAATGGTTTGCAGAACACGGAAGACCTATTGGCATGCGAAGTGTTTACCGACGAATGAGAAGTTTTGGCTTGTTTTCATACCGGCCACACTGGGACCTCCCTTTAACTCGAGAACACCGACGTAATCGCCTTGAGGGGTGCAGACAACGGTCACTCTGGGATCAGGAATGGAACAGTATTGTCTTTAGTGACGAGTCTCGATTTTGTTTAGGCATGCACGATGGTCGTGCTAGGGTTAGAAGGCGACGTGGTGAAAGGAGGAATCCACAGTTTTTTGTTGAAAGACATGTTCATCACACTGTTGGAGTTATGGTTTGCGGTGCTATAGCTTATGGTTCCAGGTCACCTTTAATCTTCATCAGAGGTAACATGAACGCGCAGCGTTATATCCACGAAGTTCTAGAACCCCATCTTTTACCCTATCTTGACACCCTGGCAGATCCAACTTTCCAACAAGATAATGCCCGACCACATGTTGCAAGAGTCACAATAGACTTCTTTCAACATAATGATGTCACATTGTTACCATAGCCACCAAGATCTCCCGACTTATCCCCAATTGAGCACGTGTGGGATATGATGGGTAGGAGATTGCTCAATTTGCAACGACCTCCTCAGACTTTAGAAGCACTTCGAGAGGAGTTGGTGGTTGCCTGGAATGAGATACCACAGGAGGACATTGACCACCTGATCAGAAGCATGCCTAGGCGCGTTGGAGAATGCGTAGCACATCAGGGTGCATCCACACATTATTAAAGGTCAAAGGGCTTTAAAGCAGTGCAATCATTTTTAAATTTTTATCATTTACTTGTTATGCTTCATTAAGTACTTATACAAAATTTTATTAAAATAAAACCATTTAAACTGGGTGTTCGGATTTATATGTCAGTTAGTATATATAGTACATTCTAATTACCGTATTTTTCCCTGTCATATTAAAATACGATAGTTGCTTCTGCATTTTGATATTGGTAAAAATAAAATAATAATAACAATCATCTCTATTTATCCACAATTACATTGTAGTATAGCCAACTGTCAGTCATTCACAGCGCAGTTAAGCATGCAGCTACTCTTACACTTAACCATATAGTCGCTAGCAGATGTTCAAAATTATACACTGTTCACAAACAGATTTGGTTCATTACATCCAAAGTAAAAAATAAAAAAATAAAAAGACATATTTTCCAAACCCAAGTAGGGGAGAGTCCTCCAATACCGTCACCTTAAGGTTTATCAACAAAAAAATCAAAATACTTATGGTTACATGTTTAAAACCTTCTGATATGTGTAAAGGAACTATTATGCTATTAATATGAATAATAAACAACTAGTAGGTTCAGAAGTAATCAACTTTATTATTGCAATTCGAACACTAGAAAAAATCAGACTCAAAAAAATTGGCCTCCAGTACCGGCCAGTGATTAAGTAACCATTTATACAATACAATAATCGCAAATATACTGATCAGATAGCTCTGATACGTTTGCACAAGCCTCGTGGACCCAAATCTTGCAGTTTCCACATTGTATCCAATCCTCTTCGTGAGATTCGGCACACAAAGGACAAACTGTTTCTTCAATCGATCTACGAGGAGGAGGTAGGTTTTCGTTTTTATTTGTTTTTGTTTTCTTACTGACATCTCTTCCTGACAGCAAGCTTTTTCCCTTTTTAATAACATCTTTTTCTGAAACATTAACTTTCTTTTTAAGTTGTTCGACATTCCTTTTATCTGCGCTTTTCTCTTCCAGCATCCTTTTGTATGGAGAACTTGTTATAATTTCACTTCTTTCAGCTTTACGACGTCTTACAGTAGTTCTTCTTTTGGAAGCATCAGGAACCGGTGACAGTTCTGTAAGTGCAGCTTTAAAATTTTCTCTGGATTTATCAGCAATAACTTCTGTTTGAGTTTCTACTTGTTGAATAGATAAAATTTCAGATTCGGCGTGAGTAGGAGTAGTTTGAGTCTCGGATTGTATAGAAGTTGTAATGTCAGCTAATAAATTAGAAGTTGGAGTTTGAGATCCAAGTTGTCGAGAGGAAATGGATGTAAGTTCTCGCTGTGTAGAAATAGAATTTGACAGATTTGAACAAGCAGATGTTGAAGGTGTCGGTTCGGTTAGTTGAGAATGTGAGAGCGATGATTCTGTTGCTGATTGACTTTCTGTAACATTCGTCATGTCGGAACCAATGAAATCTAAATCACTGAAGATATTTCTATCAAAGGGGTGTATGCCAGTGCAGTGGAAGCCATTAACCGCGATATCCATTCGCGAAACTCGATTAAAAGCAATAGCAACAAACCCTGCAATCTCGTATTCACTGATTCTAATAGCAGGGTTTGCCCTCATCCACAAGTCACATGCATCATTGTACGCAGATTTAAATGGCTTCATGAACGTACGATCCAGTGGCTGTAACTTGTGGGTCGTGTGAGGTGGGGTGCTTAACATATGAATATTATTTTTTCTGGCAAACTCAATGACATCTAAGTCTTTATGACTAGCATGCCCATCTAGAATCAAGAGTACGGGATTCTGGGCTGTTGGATTAGAATATTGCACAAAGTGTTGCATCCATTTCAAAAATAATTCGGCATTCATCCAGCCGTTTGGTTGAGCTTCACCTACACTCTCATTTGGAGCATTAATCATTAGTCTTTCATTCATTCTGTTTCGTGGAAATATGAAATAAGGTGGTACGAACTGACCTCCAGCGCTCATTGCAAAAAGCACTGTAACGTTCTTTCCACGTTCTGCTGACGTAAGCTTTCCGACTTGCCTTTGGTTTTTAGTAGCTAACACTTTAGCATGTTTTTGAACAATGCTAACTCCAGTCTCATCACAGTTCCATATTTTATAAGGTGTGAATTTAAATCTCTCCATCAAAGTCTCAAGACCATCAAAGAATCGCATAACCTGAGGCCTGTTAAATGCTACTGCTCTCATTAAACTCGTTGATTCAGCAGTTCGCAATGATAAGTCACTATGTCTTTTCATAAACGAATAATAGTAATTTTTCCCTGCAGATTGTTTCTCTTTATTGAACTGGTGAGGTAACTTTAATTTCTCGGCCAGTTGGAAAGCGAGACGTAAAAATTCTTGTCTGTTTAAAGGCATTAGCCTGTTGGCCAAGTCTTTAACATGCGATGCCAATATTTCTTCATGTTCTGGTGCAAAAGTATTGTGAAAACGACCCATAACTGGCTCAATAGACATCTCTTTATTACTTTTAATAGCTCTAACTCTATCATTCAAAGTAGATCGTGGTACCTGATAGCGTTCTGCGGCTTGACGAGCACTTATTTTATGATTCAGTACCTTTTCCACGGCCTTATGCATGTTGGCAGGATCCCAGGTGCCCTTCTTTTGCGTTGTCTGACCATCATTCCCGTGACTTGACATTTTTGTATATCTGAAAGTAAAACAAAACAATTAAAAACGATCTAATAGAATGGCCGGTACTGTAGGACAACATTATGTCCGGTACTGGAGGAAACGAAAAAAAAACTAAATTCGATTTCTAACGAACATGAATGTACAAAGGTTAATTATAAAGACACTTTTCTATAGATATATAAGTACACTCTACTTACCAGTAGTTATTTGTTTTAAACTGGATCTCTGAACTTCGAAAATTGTGAATAGAATTTTAATTACGTAGTTAGCGTCCATCACGCGCAACTAAAATCTTTGAACTGGAAGTAAACTTGTCGTTGCAAGTTAACGCCGCGCGGGGAATATCATCCCGTGAGTGTATTGCACAAATCACGATAATCAAAGTAGGTACACCAAAATTATTAACCTGAATTAAGAAGGGATAAAAAAGAAATGCATGATTACGTAAATTATATCTTTGGAGGGTTGAGTAACATTATTTTAACTTTTTTGTCGAACGACAGGAATGAAAATTCTTTATATACTTTAGCAAGGTAATTATAAAAATATCAACATTGTAGGAAAAACTGCATTTTAAAAAGTGTTGACGTATGCTGGAGTATATTTAATATTCTTTTCTTTGAAAGTTTCTACAGTGAACATTATTATTAAATGAATTTTTTTCCCTCAAGTAAAAGGGTTTAGACGTGGGCAGCAAACTTGTGAACAAAACTGAATAGTGATAGTCATTAATTTTTAACCAGCTTAGTGCAGGATATTTCGCTGATACATGATCAAATTAACGTAAGCCAAAGATGAAACGTATACAATTGTTTTGAACAACTTGAATAACGTTTTTAGTGAAGTGTACGTATTACAATAACATAGTTTTTTGCGCAACTTAAAATTTAGTAAATACCTGTTTGCTATAAGAGTACGTAGCCTTAGGTAAGTTTTCTGGAAAAGACTTTTAACATGTAATTTTGTATCAAAAACGACACCAAGAATTTTTACAGAATCAGAAAATTGCAATGAATGTTTAAGAGCTGTGTTACATTGTATGTTTTTCTTTTTGTGCGGAAAATAATATCTTAGATTTTTGTGGATTAATAAGTAGATTATGATCTGAAGAGTATTTAATTAATTTACTAACATCGTTTTGTAAAATTTGGGTAGAATTATTGACATTATCTGGGTTACAATAATAAAGCAACTGCGTATCGTCTGAAAATGATTTGACATGAGACTTATCAATACCTTTGCTTAAGTCGAAAGTATATATGAGGACCCGCAGCGGTCCCAATCCAGAGCCCTGAGGCACGCCTGCGGCAATTATTATCACTGGAGACATTTCTTGGTTGACAAAAACACACTGAGTTCTTTGATGAAGGTAACTGTCGAAAAATGAAAGGGATACCTTGTCAAATCCTATGTAATTTTCATTTATCAAGTAATAAGTTATGATTCATGCTATCAAAGGCTTTCGAATAGTCAAGAGATTAACGCTAGGCCATTTTCTTATATAAGGCACTTAAAATATTGTCTTGTAGGTTTAGTAGGGCAAATGTTTTACTATAATTTTTTTCTAAAACCGGATTGAGTATCGGGAAGTATAAAGAATTTTTCTAGGTAGGCGGCCAGTTGGAAGGAACTTTACCATTTTTTTCTAAAATTTTTGATAAAATTGGTATCAAACTGATAGGTCTGAGATCATTATACTCAGTGTATTCCATTTTTTTATGGATTGGAATAATTAGAGCTTGTTTGCATGTGTTTGGAAAGTATCCTTTTTTCAAACAGTCGTTAAAGATGTGGACGATGCGACGGTTGATAACAAATTTGACTTAATTTGCGTGGAGTACTAGGTTTATGAAAAGAGTTGAGAGTTACTAATCCGGAACGAAATTACAGTCTTCAGCGATTATATTTAGGTACAAGGGACGTCTTTTAAGTTTTGCATATAGAAACATAGTAGGCCGCGCGGATCGAACGTCAATAGGTACTGAATCTTAACCTCACTCTTTAGTAAACTTAAATTCAAAGTTTCACAACAATACGTGCAGTGTTCTCACTACAGTGAATTTTTAAGTGTCACCAAGTCATTAGAAAAATGGAACTCAACCGAGAACATTTTCGCGCCATAATTTATTACAACTTTCAGAGACAATTATCGCAACAAGAATGCCTTGCTGAGTTATGGTCTGTTTTCGGCAACGAAGCGCCACATCAGTCGACAAATTCCCGTTGGTATGGAGAATTCAAACGTGGACGGCTGAGTCTTAGCGGCGATTCCAGGGTGGGTGCATCAAAAACGTCGATGCTGTGCGCAAACTCATCATTGAAGATAGACATGTGACATATCGCGAGATTGAGGCGTCCTTGAAGATCTCAAAGACCTCAATTCAAAAAAATTTACATAAAGAATTAGGAGTAAGAAAATTAGTTTCTAGTTGAATACCCCACCTGTTGACTGAAGAGCAGAAAGCAGCCAGGGTTAATTGGTGTCAAAAAACGCTTGTCCGTTTCAATTCCGGAAACTCAAAAAATGTGTACAGCATTGTTAGTGGTGATGGATCGTGGATTTACTGTAATGAACCAGAAAATAAACGACAGTCTGCTGTTTGGGTGTTCCAAGGTGAAGAAAAGCCAACAAAAGTCATCCGTTCTCGAAGTGTTTCGAAAAAGATGGTCGCGACATTTGTGTCAAAAGCATTGCAACAATTCTTCTTAATGAGCAACGAACTGTTACTGCGGATTGGTATACCGCCATTTGTTTGCCAAAAGTCATCACCGAGCTTCGAAAAATCAATCCCGAAAGAAGAATCATCTTCCACCAAGACAATGCAAGCTCGCACACAGCTCAAAAAACAAGGCAGTATTTAACGGAAGAAAACATGGAATTATTGGACCATCCTCCATATATTCCCGATCTAAGTCCTAACAATTTCTTTACTTTCCCGAAAATTAAAAACAGACTGCGTGGTCAAAGGTTCCAGTCACCAGAAGAAGCAGTTGACGCATTCAAAAATTCCGTTTTGGATCTGCCAGCAAACGAGTGGAATAAGTGCTTCGAAAATTGGTTCGAGCGCATCCAGATGTGTATTAATCTTTGTGGAGAATACTTCGAAAAACAATAAAGTCATTTAAAATTACCTACCGTGTTGTTTTATTTCCATATGCAAAACTTAAAAGATATCCCTCGTATATACATAGTATATCAAATCTGCGTGTATTTTCCATTACTATTAAATTGATCGCGTATTTTCGGACCATAGTAAAGCTTTCGAACAATACCAATATAACAAGTTCCTCGTTAAATTCGCCTTCTTTTTTGCTTCTTCTCCATGCGTTGCATTCAGTGTGACGTTGCACTATTTTGTTGATCGAAATTCGAAATGCCACGGTCTTGCCTATGGTCTCGGACTAATTTCACGACACATTTCATGAACTTAATGGACTGTGTCAAACTACTCATGTTTGGAATCTTGTCTGGCCGCAACGCAAGTTTAATGTGGTCTATAGCGAAATTCAAATAGAGATGTTGACCTTGTTTCGTTAAACATCTGCGTATGCTGTGTGACCAGAAACGATTAATCATATATTCGTACGTATACAAATGGCCCATTATCGCTACAAATTATGGATTGCTTTTGTATTTATTGGAGTAAAGAGCGCACAGTAGTTTCGTTGTCTTGTATTGGTCTTTCATAAAATGCTGATTACGAGTGACGTTTGAAAACAGTCTGCGAGAATCAAAAGTTCG